TGCAGATCCAGCATTGGACCGTTCAGTCACCTCAGGATCCACAATTCCAGAGTGGAAGAGAGTCATTCTCAGTCTCAAGGAACTGCCCAGGAACTAGAGTTTCCTATCCTGGGTCCACCAGCTGTTCTTCCACCCAGCAGCAACTGTTGGATGTCCTTTCCTCACCTAATGCTGGCTCCAATCCTGCACATTTGCTGCTGTTGGCAGTCAGCAGCTCTATCCCACTATCCCGCCTTAGCTAATCAGAGTTGGCTGTGAACCAGTCAGCACACTTTTCTCCTGTAGTATAAGTTGTGATGATGGTTTGAAGTTTGGCAGCCTTGCATTTGTCCTGATGAGTGCAAGAGAAACAGCATCACCAATATGTATGTCTTATCATCAATATTCAAGAAAATAATGTGAGAACGAGTGAAGGGTAAAAACTGAGCAAGCATGAGGATAGTAGGGAGCTACAGGAAGAGAAGGATATTGTTCAGCACAACATTGTGGGCCAAAGGGGCCTGTTCCTGTGCCTATGTTCCATGTTCTAATATTTTTGGATCGAATATCTTTGATCTCCTGGTGTTTTATACCAGCTTTGACTATTATGTTATACTGATAGATAAACAAAAACACTTAATTTTTTGCTGTACATTTTGAGGCAAAAAGATCCATGTACCTCACTCTGCTTTCTTTTTTAACTATTCATTCATGGAAAATGGGCATCACTGCCTGGGCCCAGCATTTATTGCCCGTCCCTAGTTGCCCTTGAGAAGGTGGTGGTGAGCTGCCTTCTTGAACCACAGCAGGTAAACCCACAATGCCATTAGGGAGGGAATTCCAGGATTTTGACCCAGCCACAGTGAAGGAATGACAATATATTTCCAATTTGTTGGTTGAACTCACAATGTGGCTCACTTCGACTTACTCATAGCTAACATAGTCATTCACAGGTCCCTGTCCTCTGTAAACAGAATATATGCAGATGTTGCATGTTTTTCATTTAAACAAAAGCAAGGGAGCGGGGAGAGGCGCGTACTGAAACCAATTCCCAATGCATTCCCCATAGTCAAAGTCTCGACTAATCAGCAGGCCAGGCAGCATCAGAGGAGCAGGAAAGCTGACGTTTCGGGTCTAGACCCTTCTTCAGATTCTTCAATTTCTGAGGAATAGTCTAGGCCCGAAACGTCAGCTTTCCTGCTCCTCTGATGCTGCTTGGCCTGCTGTGTTCATCCAGCTCTATACCTTATTATCTCAGATTCTCCAGCATCTGCAGTTCCTACTATCTCTCGACTAATCAGTCCACTTGCCGACTGATCAGGCCCTTTTGTTATAAATTGTAGTATAAATTGTATTCTCTTTGAAATTTGATATTCTTGCATTGTCTGAATGAAGACAAGATGAAAAATTTTGATAACATGTCTTCAGGAGCATTCAGTGTCGATAAGCTGTTTTGGTTTGAGTGCAAAGTTTGAATGTGCTAGTCCAAAGGGTGTAGAGTGGAGGAATGATGTTCATCTCTACTGTTAGAAGGATGAATTCTGAGAAGATTTGATAAGCTGAGGCCCCTCAACATTGTATTGTGTGCAATTCTGGTGTCTCTCCTATAGGAAGGATTTATGAAACTGGAAAGGGTTCAGAAAAAATTTACGAGGATGTTGCCAGCATTAGAGGGTTTGAGCTAAAAAGAGAGGTTGAATAGGCTGGGGCTATTTTCCCTAGAGCGTTGGATGCTGAGGGGTGAACTTAGAGGTTTATAAGATCATGAGGGGCGGGCATTGGATAAATAGGCAAGGTCTTTTCCCTGGGGTGAGGGAGTCCCAAACTAGAGGGTAGAGGTTTAAACTGAGGGGAAAGATTTAAAAGGGATCTAAGGGGCAACTTTTTTGCGCAGAGTGTGGTGCGTGTATGGAATGAGCTGCCAGAGGAAGTGGTGGAGGTTGGTACAATTGCAACACTTAAAAGGCAGCTGGATGGGTATATATGAATGGGAAGGGTTGAGAGGGATATGTGCCAAATGCTTGCAAATGGGATTAGAATTATATAGGATAGCTGGTTGACATGGACGAGTTGGACCAAAGGGTCTGTTTCCATGCTGTTTATCTCTACTCTGTAAGTCAGGATGGTGAGCGGCCTGGATGGGAACGTGCATGTCGTGGTGTTCCCATGTATCTACTGCCCTTGGCCTTCTCGATGGAAATGGTCGTGGGTTTGGAAAAAGCTGTCTAAGGAGCCTGAATGAATTTCTGCAAGGCATCTTGTAAGGGTGTAGATGGAGAGGCAATGGCCTGGTGGTATTATCACAAGACGGTTACTCTAGAGACCCAGGTAATATTCCGGGGACCCGGGTTCAAATATCGCTGCAGCAAATGGTGGATTTTGAATTCAATAAAAAATCTGGAATTTAGAGTCTCATGATGACGATTGTCGTAATAATTGTTGATTGTCAGAAAAAACTCATCAGGTTCACTAATATCCTATCGGGAAGGAAGCTGCCATCCTTACCTAGTCTGGCCTATATCTTTACTTCCCCTTCCAACTCCATTTTGATTTAGCCCCTTCCTGGTCTCCCAACCTTTCCCTGACCTTTGATGGTTTTCATTGCCCTGGTATCCAGTTGGAAACATGGGTGATTTAATGGTGGCAGTTCATGGGATAAAAAAAACCACAGTGATTTGGTGATGGGAGAAAGAATTGGTCCTTTATGTGTAAGAACACTTCCGGATAGAAAATAAGGGATAAAAGCCTTTTGAAGATCTTTCCCCCTTCCCCTACCTTTCCCTCACCTTTTGATGTTATTGCATTGCCTGAATGGACTCTGCATGTAAATTGGGGAGGCAACAGCCTCATGGTTTATCACTGGACTGTTAATCCAGAGAGCCAGCTAATGCTCTGGGGATTCGGGTTCGAATCCTGCCAACAGCAGATGGTGAAATTTGAATTCAGTAAAAACCTGGAATTAAGAGTTTAATGATAGCTAAGAGTCCTTTGTCTATAGCCAAGAAAAACCCATCTGGTTCACTAATGTCCTGTAGGGAAGGAAACTGCCATCCTTACCTGGTCTGGCCTACATGTGACTCCAGACCCACAGCAATGTGGTTGACTCCTAACTGCCCTCTGGGCAATTAGGGATGGGCAATAAATGCTGGACTAGCCAGAGATGCCCTCATCCCATGAATGAATTTTTTAAAAAGTCTGATATTACAGAAACATTAAGAAGTAATTTAGAGTTTATATCTGAGCTCATGGGAGAGAATTATCACTCAAGTTTATGTGGCCAGACATTATACTTATTATTTATTGTTATTCATTACGTTACATCAGTCTTGAAAATAAAAACTCCTTTTAATTCTTTCAGACTAAGACACACCCTTCATTCACAGAAATCCTGGCATGGAATAAGATCTCTGTTACATGAGATCAGGTCTGCCTCACATCAGCTGGACATTTGTGTGTGGCAGCATCGTTCACAAATAACTTAGTGGGGTGTACTTGCTGTGTGCTAGTGGGCCCAGAGAAACCTCTACATTCTGTCTACTGTCTGAATTGGCTACTTCATTTATTTTGTCATTGAGCGAAATCTGCTTGATTTTGCCTGGAAATGTGCATAGATTTCTACCTAACACCGTAGTATTGCTAGAGTACCGTGTCCAATTCTGGGCACCACTTAGAATCATAGAATCCCTCCAGTGTCTAAAGTAGCAACGCAAGGTTGTACCATGGGTAAGTGTAAAGAAATTTAAGGTTAGAAGGGTGACAGAATGCTTTATTAAAGTGAGAGCATACAAAACTGATTTGGCCAGAATATTAGAATATTGCATCCAATTCTGGACACCAGGACCTTAGGAAGGATGTGACTATGTCGGAAGGAATGCAGACAAAATTCATGAAATTTGTTTCAGGGATAAGAAGCTTCACTTTAGTGAATAGATTGGAGAAGCTGGGACTGTTTTCCTGAGGGAAGAGAAGGTTGAGAGATTTGATAGAGTGTTTAAGATCATGAGAGACAGAGTAGACGGGGCGAAACTGTTTTCATTGGTGGAAGGATCAAGAACAGGAGCATACAGCTTTAAGGTTGGCAAAAGAAGCAACAGTGACATGAAGAAAATTCTTTTAAGCAGCGAATGGTTGAGAGGTGACCTGATGGAAGTTTATAAAATAATGAGAGGTATAGACAGAGTTGATGGTGTTTGTCTTTTCCCTAAGATGGGGAATTTCAAGACTAGTGGGCATATTTTAAAGGTGAGAGGAGAGAGATTCTGAAAAGACGTAAGAGGCAAATTTTTTACACAGTGGGTGGTTTGTGTGTGGATTGAACTTCCTGAGGAAGTGATGGATGTGGATACAATTACAATGTTTAAAAGACATTTGGATGGATACATGAATAGAAAACATTTGGAGGGATATGGGCCAGGAGCAGGCAGGTGAGACTAGTTTAGTTTGGGATTATATTCAGCATGGACTGGTTGGACCGAAAGGCCTGTTTCCGTACTGTATGACTCTATGACTTTATGACTCTCTGGAATGTACTGCCTAAGGGTGTGGTGGAGGCAGGTGCAGTCAAGGCTTTCCAAAGGGAATTGGATCTTTATCTGAAAAGAATAGAACTACAGGCAAAAGGCAAGGTGACTTGTTCTTGCAAGAACCAAAAGGAGATGAAAGGATAAGTGGCACCTTCCAGTGCTGTAAGTATTCTATGATTCTATGATGTTAGAGGAGGAGGGGAAGCTTAGAGGGAGGGTTGGCAGAGAGCAGGACTATTGGCAATGACCACATGTGGGTCCCAAAGCTCAGCTCAGTTGAAGGTTAAATGAGGACACCGTATTGTGAGCAGGCTGATACGTGTATGTCTATAAGATGGGGGATGGTGGCAGTTTGGAAGTGGGTACTGGTGGAGAGGGGATAACTGGGTTATGGAGAGACTGGGTTTGTAAAGTCAATTTCAAAGGAATTTAAGACTTGTTGCGCATAACTCAGAACTTCCAAGTTTGGAATCTGATCTGTTCACCCTTCCTTTCCAGGCACTCGGATATCTTGGCATTGAACCAACTGAGGAGCAGCAACAAAGCCTCCGGCAGCAGCTTCAAGTGGACTCAAAGGGAACAGTGGCCTACGGAGGTCAGTGTTCCGGTTGATTAAGTCCCTCCCTGTAATTCTCCACCTCCTCACCTCCAGCTCTCCTTCTGAAGGGCATTTCAACCCTACACCCCCACCTCACACCAGTCACCTGTGGTCAGACAATGCACCCATTCTCCAATCTGTTTACCCTTAGTCTACGAGAGGAGTGGGGGTGGCGCAGTGGACAGCAGAATCTGGCTTGTGAAGTTGACCATTTTCCTCTCCCTCCCATACAGTAGAAAAACAGAACTTGCTCTTTGCTTCTTGTTCACACTGCTGCCAAGGCGGGGGTTCCTACACAGCAACAACAGCAACTTGTATTTATGTAGCACCTTCAATGTAGTAAAATAGCCCTAGTCTTTCTCCGGAGTGTTCTTAAACAAAGGTTTGATTGTCAGCTACTTAAGGCGATTCAGACTGGTGATCAGAACCTGGTCAAATTGGTAGGTTTTAAGTAACATCTTAAAAACTGAGAGAGGTGAAAAGATATAGGGACAGAATTATAGAGCTTGAGGCCCAGAGAGCTAAAGGTACGACCACCGATGCGAACTGTGGAAATTGGGGATGTACAAGAGGTCAGAACTGAAGGAAAACCATGACAGGATCATGGAGGAATGCAGAAACAAGGATGAAAATTTTAAAGTTGAGGCATTTTTGAAACAGGAATAGGTACACCAGAACTCGAAGCCTGAAAACAAGCAAAAATTTCCAATTTCGATCTTCACTTGTTGCTTGCTGTGTAGGCGTGATGCACCAATGGAAGACAAGCTATGAAAACAGTCTCACACGCTGAGTACCTTCTGGGTGATATAGCAACAACCTTCCTCCTTCAATTACAGTCGGAGTCTCCTATCCCCCTTTCTCTACTCCACATGGCTGGCAGCCACAGAATGAAAAACACACAACGATGACTGATTGAAATTTTAAGAGTTCACATCCTCCGCACTTTATTGCAATTGAAAAAATTCATAAGGGAGACCCATTATTTCTAATGAGCTGCTGAAAACACACATCACAGGATTGAGAGTGAAGTCTGTGACTGCAACACTGTCTTCCTCCTGAATGAGATCACCTCAGCATGTGGTCTACTGTAGCAGAGTTGAACTGGGAAATGAACAGTGGGGGAGTGTTTATTACTGTACAACACTAACACATCACAGGATAGATCTTTCAGTCTTAATCTATTCACCCGAACAAAGGATCAGGGAATTAGAATAATTGTAAGGAGAAAATATTGAGACAAGCAATTTCAGTTCTATAGAGGGACCAGAGAAACTGGAATGGTTCTCCCCAGATCAGATATGGGGTGAGTCTGTTTTTAGACTGTTACTGAGATTTTTTGAGGGCTAATATTTGATTTTTGGGGGCTACATTTTAGTTTTCTTGAGTTTCTTTTTCATTGTCACAGATTCTTTTATGAAGTCATACAGTCACATCTTACCTTCTATGTTTGTATTGAGGTTTACTTATTTGGCTAACCGACAAAAGACAGCAGAAACATGCATTATTAAATCTCTTCTTTGTGCGCTAGGAAACAGATTCAATACAAACCTTCAAAAAAAATCAGATAAATTTGAAGAGGAAAATATATTGCAAGGCTATGGTAAAGAGCAGGAGAGTGAAACTAATTTAATAAGTTCTTCCTAGGGCAGAATTTTCCCCTCGTTGGAACATAATGAGAACGTTGGCAAGAGGGGGGATCTCATAGATTCTAATGAAATTCTAACAGGACTGGACAGGGTAGATGCAGGGAGGATGTTCCCGTTGGTGGGTGTGCCCAAAAGCAGGAGTCACAGTATGAGGATTCAGGGGAGACTATTTAGGACGGAGATGAGGAGACATTTCTTCACCCAAAGAGTGGTGAGCCTGTGGAATTCATTACCACAGGAAGTAGTTGATGCCAAAACATTGAATGTATTCAAGAGGCAATTAGATATACCATTTGGGGCAACTGGGATCAAAGGTTATGGGGAGAAAGCAGGATTAGGCTATTGAGTTGGACAATCAGCCATGAGTGTGAAGAATGGCAGAGCAGGCTCTAAGGGCCGAATGGCCTCCTCCTGCTCGTATCTTCTATGTTTCTATGCAAGGGGAAATAATTGGATGTGTTACTGCTCAGAAACTCATCCCCTGCTCACCATCTCATCAGTTACATTCTGTGCAAAAAATTCCATTTGGGACTTTCTCAACTTTCCACCAATTAAGGTCATTTAAATGGACAATTAATGGCCACTTAAGAACCTCAGCTGGTCACCTCCCTGGCATGTGAGAAAGCTGCCATGTTCCTGAGGATGACACACCTGCTGCTTTGAGAGGGAGTCAATGTTGCCTTCAATTGCCCCAAATCCCTAATGCCCCACCCTAACACCTTCTCATGATCTCTCTCCCAGTGGAAAGAAGAAAAGAAACACTTAACCTTTTTGCCACTGGATCCCCTAAAGAGTAGACCTCAAACAACAGTCTTTTAGGAGCCAGAAGCTGCTGGCGTCTGATTCTCCAGAGGGGTATGGTGACCCAGAATGCCAGTGTCACATCAGTTCTGCCTGCCAGCTCTTAATGAACCCATTGGTACACAATAGGTCATGGTATGGCACCTGTGGACAGGGTGAGTTCATCACCACTCACCCCCATGCTCTGTCTTAAAAATGGAAAAGCATGCCCTTAGAATTGGCATAACCACAACAGACCAATCTTCTGTCAGCCATGTCAACTTTTAACAAAATAGAAGTTGCTGGAAAAGCTCTGCAGGTCTGGCAGCATCTGTGGAGAAAAAATCAGAGTTAACATTTCGGGTTCGGTGACCCTTCATCAGAACACTGACTTCTGAGGAAGGGTCACCAGACCCAAAACGTTAACTTGATTTTTTCTCTACAGATGCTCCCAGACCTACTGAGCTTTACCAGGCAACTTCTGTTTTCATTCCTGATTTACAGCATCCGCAGTTCTTTCAGTTTTTATGTCAACTTTTAACCTTGGCAATGTAGGTGAGATTCAGTCAAGAGGTTTAAGGCCATGTGTTTACAGATTAATGAGAGGATTTCAGTCATCAATAAGATCAGTAACGTGCTGCATAACTTTCTTCATCACAAAGGCTTACTCAGACCAATATTGGTTTAGAAAAATGGCAGCCCCTGCTGAGTCAATCACAGTGGATTGCTACAATCTCTGTCATGCTCCTTGCCCAGGGATGTGGGGGATGGGTCAGGAATACCAATCAGTATCCAAAAGGAACGCAAATATCACAAACGTTAGGATTGGCAATGAAGTGCTGTGCTCCTGCTCGTGTCTGATTGTTTTTCCATGGTCAAGGTGCACAGTTAAGAATGGCTACAGCATTGGCTTTTAGCTCTCCATGGAGCCTCCAGCCTGAATCCACACTTTCAGGAGAGGAGAAGAAAAGCTAAGGAGAAATATTGGCCCAAATCTTGCTCAAGGAGAAGCACATAACATGCGCTGGTTTTGAATATTTTCTGCATCTTTCAGCATGAGAGTGCAAGATAACATGGGAAGTACAACAGGGTGTCAGTGACCTCAGTGAACTAAAGATGAAAGAGGATTGACGAACAATGCAGTAGAATTAGAATATCCTTTATTGTCACAGTGAATTACAGTCAGATCAGATATAGAAAGAGAAATAGAAAGAGGGAAAGTATGATTGGATTAAAAGAGTGAAAAACAACAAAAAGGAAAAAAAAAATCTACATTCTGCTCGCAAAAAAGACCCTCTACACCTGCATTCCCCATGCAGATGGCCTTAAGGCCCTCCGCTTCTTCCTGTCCCGCAGGCCCGACCAGTCCCCCTCCACTGACACCCTCATCCGCTTAGCCGAACTCGTCCTCACACTCAACAACTTCTCTTTCAATTCCTCCCACTTCCTACAGACAAAGGGGGTAGCCATGGGTACCCGCATGGGCCCAAGCTACGCCTGCCTCTTTGTAGGTTACGTGGAACAATCCCTCTTCCGTACCTACACCAGCCCTAAACCCCACCTCTTCCTCCGTTACATTGATGACTGTATCGGTGCCGCCTCGTGCTCCCACGAGGAGCTCGAACAGTTCATACACTTCACTAACACCTTCCACCCCAACCTTAAATTTACCTGGACCATCTCTAACACCTCTCTCCCCTTCCTGGACCTCTCTGTCTCCATATCGGGCAACCACCTCGAAAGCGATATTCATTTCAAGCCCACCGACTCCCACAGCTACCTAGAATACTCCTCCTCCCACCCACCTTCCTGCAAAAATGCAATCCCCTATTCCCAATTCCTTCGCCTCCGCCACATCTGCTCCCAGGATGAGGCATTCCACTCCCGTACATCTCAGTTGTCCTCGTTTTTCAAGGACCGTAACTTCCCCTCCTCGGTGGTCGAGAACGCCCTCAACCGTGTCTCCCACATCTCCCGCACCTCATCCCTCACACCCCGTCCACGCAATAAAAACCAAAAAAGAATCCCCCTCGTCCTCACGTACCACCCCACCAACCTCCGGATCCAACGCATCATCCTCCGACACTTCCGCCATCTGCAATCCGACCCCACCACCAAAGACATCTTTCCCTCCCCACCTTTATCTGCTTTCCGGAGGGACAACTCTCTCCGTGACTCCCTTGTCCGCTCCACACTCCCCTCCAGCTCCACCACACCCGGCACTTTTCCCTGCAACCGCAGGAAGTGCTACACCTGCCCCCATACCTCCTCCCTCACCCCCATCCCAGGCCCCAAGAAGACTTTCCACATCAAGCAGATGTTCACCTGCACATCTGCCAATGTGGTATACTGCATCCGCTGTACCCGGTGTGGCTTCCTCTACATCGGGGAAACCAAGCGGAGACTCGGGGACCGCTTTGCAGAACACTTACGCTCGGTTCGCAACAAACAACTGCACCTCCCAGTCGCGAACCATTTCAACTCCCCCTCCCATTCCTCAGACGACATGTCCATCCTGGGCCTCCTGCAGTGCCACAACGATGCCACCCGAAGGTTGCAGGAACAGCAACTCATATTCCGCTTGGGAACCCTGCAGCCCAATGGTATCAATGTGGATTTCACAAGTTTCAAAATCTCCCCTCCCCCTACCGCATCCCAAAACCAGTCCAGCTCGTCCCTGCCTCCCTAACCTGTTCTTCCTCCCACCTATCCCCTCCTCCCACCTCAAGCCGCACCTCCATCTCCTACCGACCAACCTCATCCCGCCCCCTTGACCTGTCCGTCCTCCCTGGACTGACCTATCCCCTTCCTAACTCCCTACCTACACTCACCTTTCCTGGCCCCATCCCCGCCTCTTCGACCTGTTTGTTTCCTCTCCACCTATCCTCTCCTCTATCCCTCTTCTATCCGCCTCCCACTCTCTCCCTATTTATTTCAAAACCCCCTTCCCCTCCCCCTTGTCTGATGAAGGGTCTAGGCCCGAAACGTCAGCCTCTCTGCTCCTATGATGCTGCTTGGCCTGCTGTGTTCATCCAGCCCTGCACCTTGTTGTCCCTGAACTACCTGTTGCCTGCCACTTCAATGCACCAGCCTGCTCCCTGGTCAACATCTCTGTCTCTGGCTTGCTACAGTGTTCCAGTGAAGCCCAACGCAAGCTGGAGGAACAACACCTCATTTTCCGCTTGGGGACCCTACAGCCCTCTGGACTCAATATTGAGTTCAATAATTTTAGGGCCTAATCTCTCCCATGTCCCAGCCCCCCACCCCACACACCAGGCCTTGTTACCACATAGCCTGCCACTACACACCCCCTGTTGTTAGTCACTAACAGTCCCCATTAACAACTACTCACCCTCCCAGCCTGATCGTTAGCAACTCCTTTGTCTGTCCAACTGTCTTTCTCTCTCTTTGGGGTCTATCCTATCGTTTACTCCCTACCCCACCCACCTCCCTATTTTCTGCATATAAACTGACGTTTTCCCAGCCACCATCAGTTCTGAGGAAGGGTCACCGGACCCGAAACGTTAACTCTGTTTTCTCCTCCACAGATGCTGCCAGACCTGCTGAGCTTTTCCAGCAACTTTGTTTTTGATCAAGAAGGAAAGATGAGAAAAAAGTTCTGAAACCTTTAAAATCTCTTAACAATTCACTTCCTGAAGGAATTAGATGCAGCCATTTAAGTTGTTCCCTTTCTGGGCCAATTTGACATTGTGTTAATGTTCAAACAATACTTGCAAAGTTAATAACAAGCCCTAAAATTTTGTGGTGAGCTTAATGGATAATCAATGTGCGAATCGAACAGGTTCTTGGCATCACATCAATGCAGGGTATCCCTTAATCCCAAGTGGTTTACTGGCACATTGATAACTATGTGCATCATTAACACTCCATTGTTTATCCAGCAAAGTTCACTCAACGTATGTTCTGTTCACAAACCTCTGCTCATGTGTTACCATTTCACCTCTACCCCCCATCACCACCACCCAGACTTTGTACAGGCTGCCAGAGACTTGTTCCGATTACAGCTCGGTGAAACTGGATCAGGAGCAGGAACCAATATGTTTGCTTCTAATGAAGTGGCCAATCTCTCAGAGACAACGCATTCCACACAGGTGAGATTCATGCTGGCTGAACAGATTGTAATTCACTCCTGGGCATCTGTTATTCTATACTTAAACCACCCCGAACCCTCAATTAGATTCCAGGCTGTCACTCACTCCTAGGTATCTGTTGTTCTATATATCCCAGGTATCTGTTATTTTATATATAAACATCCCTGAACCCCTCAATTAGATTCCAGTCTGTAACTCACTCCTGCATATCCATTTTTCCAGATGTAATGAGAAGGGAATCATTGCTAATGCAGCTGTGCGAGACCACTTGGAGATGAGAGACCATAACAGGATAGAATTTTTATCAAGTTGGAGGGTGAGGTAATTGATTCGGAGACTAGGGTGCTGAATCTTAATAAAGGAAACTGTGGAGATATGAGGTGTGAGTTGGTCTTGATAGATTGGGGACAGTTACCTAAGGGATGACAGTAGATAGGCAATGGTAAACATTCAAGGAACGAATGGGAGAACTACAACACTGTTTATTCCTGTCTGGCACAAAACCAAAATGGGTAAGAGGGCCAATCCATGGCTTACAAAGGAAATTAGAGATTGCATCCAATCCAAGAAAGAAGCATACAGATTGGCCAAGAAAAATAATATGTCTGAGGACTGGGAGCAGTTTAGAATTCAGCAAAGAAAGACCAAGGCATTGATTAAGAAGGGGAAAATATAGTACGAAAGTAAGCTTACAGGGAACATAAAGACGGACGCTAACAGTTTCTATAGGTACGTGAAGAGCAAGAGATTGGTGAAGACAAATGTAGGTCCCCTACAGACAGAAACAGGGGAATGTATAAAATGGGACAAAAAAATGGCCGAGCAACTGAATATATACTTTGGTTCTGTCTTCACAAAAGAGGACACAATCAGATACCAGAGATATTGGAAAATGCAAGATTTAGTGAGAGGGAAGAACTGACGGAGATCAATATTTGCAGGGAAATGGTGCTGGGAAAATTTTTGAGATTGAAGGCCAATAAATCCCCAGGGCCTGATAATCCCAGAGTACTTAAGGAAGTGGCTCTAGAAATAGTGGATGCATTGGTGGTCATCTTCCAGGATTCTATAGACTCTGGAACAGTCCCTGCAGATTGGAGGGTGGCTAATGTCACTCCAATATTCAAAAAGGGAGGTAGAGAGAAAACAGAGAATTATAGACCGGTGAGCCTAACATTGGTAATGGGGAAAATTCTCGAATCCATTATCAAGGTCTTTATAGCGGAGCATTTAGAAAGCAGTGTTAGGGTCAGACAGAGTCATCATGGATTTATGAAGAGGAAATCAGGATTGACAAATTTGTTGGAATTCTATAAAGATGTAACTAGTAGAATTGACAAGGGGGACCAAGCCAATGTGGTATATTTGGAGTTTCAGAAAGCATTTAACAAAGTCCCACAGAAGATTAAAGCTCATGGGATTGGGAGAAGTGTATTGAGATGGATAGGAGACTGGTTGGCAGAGAGGAAACAAGAGTAGGAATTAATGGGTCCTTTTGAAATTGGCAGGCAGTAACTAGTGGGGTGCCACAGGGATCAGTGCTGGGGCCCCAGCTATTCACAATGTATGTTAATTATTTGGATGAGGGAACAAAATGTAACATCTCAAAATTTGCAGATGATCTGGGCAGGTTGGGTGAGTGGGAAATCAATGGCAGATGCAGTATAATTTGGATAAATGTGAGGTTATTGTAGCGAAGGTTTACCAGGCTGATTCCGGGGATGGCGGGTCTGACGTGTGAGGAGAGATTGACTAGGTAGGGATTGTTTTCGCTAGAGTTCAGACAAATGAGGGGAGATCTCATAGAGACTTATACAATTTTAACAGGACTAGACAGGGTAGATGCAGGGAGGATGTTCCCGAAGGTGGGTGTGTCGAGAACCAGGGGTCACAGTCTGAGGATTCGGGGTAGACCATTTAGGACAGAGATGAGGAGACATTTCTTCACCCAAAGAGTGGTGAGCCTGTGGAATTCATTACTACAGGAAGTAGTTGATGCCAAAACATTGAATGTATTCATAAGGCAGATAGATATAGCACTTGGGGTGAATGGGATCAAAGGTTATGGGGAGAAAGCAGGATTAGGCTATTGAATTGGATGCTCAGCCGTGATCGTGAAGAATAGCAGAGCAGGTTCGAAGGGCCAAATGGCCTCCTCCTGCTGCAGTCATCTTTGTTTCTATAATATATAATTAACCCAAATACCTCAATTAGATTTCAGTCTTTAAATCCGTCCTGGGTATCTCTTTTTCCGCACATAAAACCTCAAATGGAATCCAGCTCACTCCCTGGTTTCTGTTATATCTATTTATAAAAACCTTGCAAGTCCCTTGATTTGATTCCAGCCTGTAACTCACTCCCAGGTATTTGTAATTCTACATATAAATCCTTTGAGCTCCTCAGTTAAATTCCAGCCTATAGGGCATTTCAGAGTATCAAAGCTCCTGCTCCATTGTTTTGTAAAACCTTAAGGTCATAATACAAATGCACAGAAGTAGGCTATTTATCCCATCACGTCTGCTCTGCTCCTCAGTGACATCATGTCTGTTGTGATAACCCTCAACTCCACTTTCCTGTCCTTTCCCCATAACCTTTGACTACCTTACTGATTAAAAATCTGTCTACTTCAGCTTTAAATATGCTTAATGAACTAGCCTTTACAGTTCTCTGCGGTAAAGAAATTTACAAATTCATTACTCTCCAATTAAGAAATTTGTCCTCATCTCTGTCTTAAATGGACAATCCCTCACTCTGAGATTATGCCCTCTGGTCCTAGACTCTCTCTCACAGAAAAACGACCTTTCCACACCTACTCTACCAAGTGTCTGAAGAATCTTGTACGTTTCAATAAAGTTGTCTCTCATTCTTCAAAAATCCATTGAGTATGGGTCCAATCTACTCAATGAAAACCGAAAGAACTGCGGATGCTGTAAATCAGAAACAAAAATAGAAGTTGCTGGAAAAGTTTAGCGGGTCTGGCAGCAAGCGTGAAGAGAAATCAGAGTTAAAGTTTAGAGTCCGATGACCCTTTCTCAGAACTTATTTCTCTTCACAGATTCTGCCAGATCTGCTGAGCTTTTCTGGCAACTTCTGTTTTTGTTTCCAACCTACTGAACTTCTCTGCATAAGACAGTCCCTCCATCCCCAGTGAACTTCCTCTGGACTGCCTTCAATGCCAGTCTATCTTTCCTTAGTTAATGGGATAAATTATTCCACCTGGGATCTGCCTAATACCTTGTATAGTTTTAGTAACACCTCTCTATTTGTGTACTCCATTTGCATTGAAATGAAGGACAACTTTCCATTTACCTTACCTATTACCTGCTAAATGTGGGTGTCAGCTTTTTATGATTGACACAGAAAGACCCCCAAATCTCCCTGCGCTATGGTCTTTCTCAATTTAAATCATACTGAGCTCCACTGTTATTCCTGCCAAAGTGCATAACCTTACGTGTTCCCACATTATATTCCAACTACCAAGCTTTTGCTCATTCGCTTAACCGGTCAATACCCCTGTGCAGACTTTTTGTATCATCCTCACCACTTTCATCCCCACCTCCCCACATATCAGAACTGACAACGAGACTCCAACGACCACTGGGAATCATGGTGGCACACAAGCCCTCAGCCACTCTACTATAAACACTTACAAGGATTAAAGACCCCATTCCCACAACATGCAGAACCAATGTGGTTTACAAAATGCCATGCAACGACTGCCACAAACATTACATCGGACACACAGGAAGGAAACTAGTCATAATAATACACGAACATCAGCTTGCAGCAAAACAGCACGACGAACTTTCCTTAATATCAGTACACTTGGACAATGAAGGCCATCAGTTTAACTGGGACAATGTAGCTAGAGTAGCCCAAGCCAAACATAGACACGGATGGGAATTCCTAGAGGTATGGTTCTCCACCTGTAATGCATTCAACAAACACAGAATTGGACTCCATATACAAACCCATACAGAACAAAACTGGAAATGACAGTACTCACCATAACGGACCAGCCATTATAAATTCCAAGCAGAGTAGAACAACATCACTTCATCGCAGGCCTCACTGATGATGTTACCTAGCATAGTGACAAAACGTCTGAATGAAAACAAGCCAGCTCGGTGAGCAAGTCTACAACCTCCCTCCCCACCTATTTTAGTGTCATCTGCAAAGTTATCAATAGTTTATTCACTTTCCTCATTCAAGTAATTAATGTATATTGCAAATAATTGTGGCGCCCGTACTGATTTCTGTGGCACACTACTAGTTAAAGATTTCCATCCTGAAAATGTACCCCTCATTCCAATTCTCTGTCTCTGTTAATTAGCCAGTCCTCTATCCATGCCAATATGATACCTCCACGGACTCATATCTTATTAAACAGCCTAACGTGTGGTACCTTATCAAAAACCTTCTGAAAATCCAAACATATTATATCCACTGCTTTCCCTTCATCAATTCTACTTGTTACCTCCATAAAGAATTCTAATACAGTTGCCAGCCATGATTTTCCCCTTTGTGAAGCCATGCTGACTCTGCTTGATCACACTATGTATTTCTCAATGCTGTCCTACTATATCTTTGAAAGCATAGAATCATAGAATTTTACAGTATAGATGGAGGCTATTTGACCCATTGTGTCTGTATGGTTCCCGAAAGATCCACCCAGATAGGGCTGGAGAACGGAACTATCTCCATAGCCCTCTAAATTCATCACTTTCAAATATGTATTCAACTCTCTTTTGAAGCCACCTATGGAATCTGCCGCTACCGTTCTCCCAAGCAGCACGTTCCAAATGGTAAAACTCTCTGAGTAAAGAAATTTCTACTCATCTCGCTCCTAGCATCTTTTGCTGACAATCTTGAAACTGGGACTCCTTGCTACTGACATACTAACTAGTGGAAACAGAATATCCTTCTTTACTGTGTCAATGAGGTCACCTCTTAATCTTCTCTGCTGAAAGGAGAATAGCTCAATTTCTCTAATCTTTCCTCATATCTAAAATCCTTCATTCCTGCTATAATTCTAGTAAATCTCCTTTGCACTGTCTCTCAGGCTTTAACATCCTTCCTTAAATAAAGTGTTCAGGACTGAACACAATACTCAGAATGTGGTCTGACCAATGATTCGTAGAAGTGTAGCACTACTTCCTTGCTTTTGTACTCTAAGCCTCTATTTATAAACCCAAGAATACTATAAGCCTTCTTAACAATTGTCTCAACTTGTCTGGCTACCTCCAGAGAATTATGCATGTGATCCCCGAGGTTTCTCTGCTTCTGTACTCTCCTTAAGTTGTACCATTGAACCTGCATTGTCTCTCCATGTTTCTTCTACCAAAGTGCATTAACTCTCATTTCTCTGCATTGAAATTCATCTGCCAGGTATCTCTCCATTTGGCCAACTTGTCAGTGTCCCTCTGAGGTTGCTCAGCATCATCACCACAATTTAGTATTCTGCCTAGCTTAGTATCATCTGCAGATTTAGAGATTTTACCCTCAACAGCCATCTCCATATCATTCAGGTAAATCGGAAAAAAACAAAGATTCCAATACCAATCTCTGGGGAACACCACTTTCAACTCGTCTCCAGTTTGAGAATTACCCATATGTACCTATCCCCTTGTTTTCTAACTTTTAGCCAACTTCTAATCCATGCTGCCAAGGACCCATCAATCCCAAACATTTCTAATTTGCTAACCAGCCTACCATGTGACACCCTTTATCAAATGTTTACCAAAGGTCCAAATATACTCTAAGACTTTCCCAAAGACTTTTCCCAGATGTTAAGCTAACTGGTCTATAGTTACATGGATTCTTTTTTGTCTCTTTTATCCTCTAAATAAAGGTTTTCTGTTGGCAGTTTTCTAATCCTGTGGGATTTTTCCAGAATCTAAGGATTCCTAGGAGATTATTATCAATGGATCCACTATCTCTGCAGCTACTTCCTTTAATATCCAAGGACAGAACCCAGCAGGTTTAGGGAACTTATCAGTCTTTAGTCCTACTAGTTTCCAAGCACTTTTTTCTCTTGTGGTCATTATTTTATTTCATCTCCTCCTTCTCCTTTGCCTTGATTACTTAGTAATTTTGGAATGCTATGGTGTCTTCTACTATGAAGACTGATGCAAAGTATTTGTTCAATCCCTTTGTCATTTCCTGGTCCCCCATTATTACTTATCCAGTCTCATTCTGTTAAGGGGCCTATATCATTTGTAATCACCGATCAAGTGCTTTGATCTGATAGCTGCCCAAGTAACTCCTTGAATCGTCCTCAGTGTCAATTTAACCTGAGCCTGGGAATAGGCTTTTCAACCTCAGAATGGGGTCCTTTACACTCTTTACACCAACCAACCCCGATGGCTTTGCTTACAATCAACAGTTGTGTGTCTGAATAGGAGTTAATTTGGGATGCTACAATGCCATTCTGAAAAGTATACCGATGCCAAACAGGAGGAAGAGTCCCAGAGCCCAGGTGTGAGGAGCCAGTATCTAATTACCCCGTTTTCCTACCCTTGCAGCTTTCATTGAGTTGTCTTATCGACAGAACTAAGGTATTAAATTGTGTTACATGTTGCGCTGTGAAAAGCTTCCTGTTATTTATACTGAATACCTTATGAATTTTACAGATTACATCATCCAATTCAGTGGATAAGGAAGATTTGGAAAGAATTACCCATGAGAAGAGTGAGGCATTAAAAGAGCTGAAGAAAGTGAAGGTGAGGGAAGGTTACTGGAATGATGATTATGTCCTCTTGCAGGAGAGGGCATAACTTCCCCAGTTCATTCTAAAAATCACGCATCACAAATTGTTATTCAATTTTAAAAGTTTGTTTTTATTTTGGAATGTGGCCCATTGATGAGGATTCCTGGAATGAGTTAGCACAGGAGGCCATTTGATCCATCATGCCTGTGCAGCCTCCTTGGTTAGAACCTTCTACTTAGTTCCACTCCTCTTCTTTCATCCCAAAGCTGAGGCAATTCTTTTCTTTTTTGATTACATTTTGAAATCTGCTTTCACTATCCTTTCAGGCAGTGCATTCCAGATCATAAGATTTTGTTCCATAAAAAGTAAGTTCTGTTACTATAAGCAATTTCTCCAGGTATCCTCTACCAAACCTTAACCCCCTCTCGACTCTGAGAACAATGAGCCTCTCCATTGTTTCCATGTATCTGAAGACCCCAAATGCATTCTCTCTGCACTGTCTCCAACACTTTGATATTCCTCCTAAAACTTTCACCAGAATTAAGTTCTGATGCTCAACCAGAGTCTTATAAAGTTTAGCATAAGTTGTATATTCAAATTCAAGTCATTAGTATAGATCAAAACAGCAGTGACTGTAATACCCATCCTGAGGCCTCACGACTGCATACTTCCCTTCAGTTTGAAGAACAATTTCTATCGGTCTGTCCCTTAGCCAGTTTTGTGCTTCCTTTATTCTCATGCGTTTAATTTTGCTAACACATCTAATATGTGATACTTTGTCAAATGCTGTTTGAAAGGCCACACATGCAGCATCGTACACAACACCTTCAATAATCCTCTTCATTGTTACATCCAGAGGTTATAATTCCTTTTTATTTAAATTTCTGATGTCTCTTTCAATGAATGTTCAAATGAAGGACTCTGTCGTTTAAAAGTGATTCAGAATGTCCTTTTTAGCAGAGATCCTGATGGTAGGAATTAACCAAAGAATGGTATCCTAGGATGTGAGACTGACAGTTTCCAAAAGTGCCCAGATCAGTCAGATCCATGTTTTACTGTGTGCATAGATTCATTCTGGCTTAGAGATGTCAGTAGTCAGTAAACTGATGTCACTAGGCCTTGCATGGGCATGCAAAGGTGGCCATTTTGATAGTGATGTTTGTGTTCAGGTCAATCACTCCGGTTTTTAAAAGGACTCAAACTGGTTGGAATCTCCAGTCCCGGGCAACAAAGTCTCCTTTATGTCAGGAGTCCTGAGGAAGGATTTGTGGATAGGGTAAATAGACAAAGTCTTTTCCCCGGGGTGGAGGAGTCCAAAACTAGAGGGCATAGATTTTCAGATGAGAGGGGAATGTTTTAAGAGACTTGAGGGGCACCTTTTTCATGCAGAGGGTGGTGTGTGTATGGAATGAGCTGCCAGAAGAAGTGGTGGAGGCTGGTACAATTACAAGATTTAAAAGGCATCTGGATGGGTATACGAAAAGGAAGGGTTCAGAGGGATATGGGCCAAATGCTGGCAAATGGGACTAGATTTATTTGGGATATCTGGTCAGCACAGACGAGTTGGACTGAAGGGTCTGTTTCCATGCTGTAAAGCCCCTATGACTCTAGTGATTTAATTACCAATTAGTGCTTCTGCCCTAAACAACAACAACCTTCATTTATGTAGTGCCTGTTACTTCATTACACTTCTGTGAAGCGCCTTGGAATGATTTTAATGAGGCAAAAAAAGATCAAACCAAATTGAAACATGGAAACATAAGGGACAGAATTCCCTCCTCAGACTTCTCCACCTCTTTCTTGCTCATTTAAAATACTCATTAAAACATATCTGTTTGACCAAGCTTTTTGTTCCCTATCCTAACGCCTCCTTTAATGTTACAGTATAGTCAATAAATGTGGAGCTGGAAAAACACAGCAGGTCAGGCGGCATCCAAGGAGCAGGGCAGTCAATGTTTTGGGACGAAACCCTTCGTCAGGACAGGGAGGGGGAGGGGAGTCCAAAAATAAATAGACAGAGTGGGGTGGGGCTGGGGGCAAGGTGAGTGGGATCGTTATTTGTGAATGCAGGTAGGAGGTTATTGTGGTTCGTCAGTGGGAAGGGTGGAGGGAATAGGTGAGTCGGAAGATGGACAGGCTGGGGTGGAGAGATTTTGAAGCTGGTGAAGTCAATATTCAGGCCATTGGGCTGCAAGCTCCCAAGGCAAAATATCAGGTGTTGTTCCTCCAGTTTATGTTTGGCCTTGCTCTGACAGTGGAGGAGTCCAAGGATGGACATGTGGTCAGAGGAGTGGGAGGGGGGAGTTAAAGTGGATGTCAACTGGAAGGTCAGGTTGGTTTGTGTGTGTAGAGCGCAGATGCTCCACGAACCGGTCCCCGAGTCTACGTTTGATCTCCCTGATGTAGAGGAGACCACATCTGGAGCAACGGATACTGTAGATGAGGTTAGATGAAGTGCAGGCGAATCTCTGCCAGATTTGGAAGGATTGTTTGGGGCCTTGGACGGAGGTGAGAGGGGAGGTGTAGGTGAAGGTGTAGCACCTCCTGTGGTTGCAGGGAAAGGTACTGGGTGTGGTGGAGGGGTTGTTGGGCAATGTGGAGCTGATGAGGGAGTCATGGAGTGAACGGTCCCTGTGGAAAGCAGACAGGGGTGGGGAGGGCAACATCTTTTTGGTGGTGGGGTCTCATTGTAGTTGGCAGAAATGTCGAAGGATGACGTGTTGTATTCGGAGGTTGGTGGAGTGGTATGTGAGGACTAAGAGGACTGTATCCTTATTTGTTGTTGGGGGGAGGGGACATGAGGGCAGAAGCGTTTCTGCACCAAAGGGGAAAGAACTCCATCTCCTCCTACCTCAACTTCGTTCTTTCCCCTTTGGTCCAGGACCTCTGTACCTACATTCAGGACACAACCCACACCCTCAACCTTTTCCAAAATTTTCAATTCCCCAGCCCCCAACACCTCATCTTCACCAGGGACATTCAGTCCCTGTGCACCTGTATCCCCCACCAGGATGGCCCAAAAGCCCTCCTCTTCTTCCTCTCCTGTAGGCCGAAACAGTCCCCCTCCACTGACACCCTCATCCGCTTAACGGAACTGGTCCTCACCCTCAACAATTTTCCTTCAATACCTCCCACTTCCTACAAACCAAAGGGGTGGCCATGGGCCCGAGCTATGCCTGCCTCTTTGTTGGATTCATAGAACAGTCTCTCTTCAACACCTACAGCGCACCATCCCCCACCTCTTCCTCTGCTACATTGATGACTGTATCGGTGCTGCCTCGTGATCCCGTGAGGAGCTCGAACAGTTCATCAACTTCACCGACACCTTCCACTCTGCCATCAAATTCACCTGGACCATTTCTGACACCTCACCCCATTTCCTGGACCTCTCCGTCTCCATCTCTGGTAACCGACTCACCACTGACATCTTTTTTAAACCCACTGACTTGCACAATTACCTTGTCTACACCTCCTCTCACCCACCCTCCTGCAAGAATGTTATCCCTTACTCACAATTCCTTCGCCTCCGCCACATCTGCTTCCAGGATGAGCCATTCCACTTAGGACTTTGCAGACATCCTCCTACTTTAGGGACCGTAGTTTCTCCTCTATTATTAAGGATGCCCTCAACCGCATCTCCCCCGTTTCCTGCGCTTCCGCCCTCAAACCCTCTCCCCCCAACAACAATAAGGATAGAGTCCCCTTAATCCTCACATACCACCCCACCAACCACCGAATACAACGCATCATCCTCCAACATTTCCGCCACCTACAATCAGCTTCAAAATCTCACCACCCCCAACCTGTCCATCTTCCGACTCACCTATCCGCCTCCACCCTTCCCACTGACCAACCACAATAACCCCCTACCTGCATCCACCTATCTCCACCTCACCTAACCTCCCCATAGCCCCAATCCCCTCCCTCTATTTATTTGTAAACTCCCCTCCCCCTCCCTGTCCTGACAAAGGGTTTTGGCCCAAAACATTGACTGCCCTGCTCCTCGGATGCTGTGTTTTTCCAGCTCCACATTTATTGACTATATTGAAACATTAAAGGAGACGTTAGGATAGGGAACAAAAATCTTGGTCAAACAGATATGTTTTAATGAGCATTTTAAGTGAGCGAGAAAGAGGTGGAGAGGTCTGAGGAGGGAATTCCAGAGCTTAGAAGCCAGCGAACCAAAGACGTAGCCACCAGTAGTGATATGAAAGAAATTGGAGATCTGCAGAGTACAGAATTGGAAAGCCACAAGATTCAGGGAGTGTCGTGGGGCTCGAGTGAGTGCAGAGAAAAAACGGGAATTGAAGCCATAGAGAGATTTGAACACAAGATGAGAATTTTGAATTTGCAGCTTTGGTGAATGAGAACTCAAAGTATCAGTTAGGTTAGGGTGCTTGGAAGACTATGATTGCCTGAAGTGAGTATGGAGCTCTGACACAGTGACTCCACCAACTGCTGGGATGTGTGCTTCAAGCTGAGCTTCCAGCCATCTGTCACTGAGCCAGGATCTGAGAGAGGCTGGATTGTAAAGCAAAACATTTCCTTTCCCTCTCTAAAGTTGTACTGAACGCTGAGACTAAGAATCTGCTGGAACCCCTCGCTGATGCATTTGGAGGGCCAGAATCAGTCAGGAAATTCCATCTCTCCCAGATCATTTGGGTGAGACTAGTGCACTCCAGTTGTCAGGGTTTAGCCTGCAGTGATGTTGAGAGAAAGGACTAGAGAACACCATACACTTGTTCCCCACTACCACCCCACCACACCTCACTGGATCAGCCTTCATTTCACTCCCACTCCAATCTGTTTTGGATCACATAAAGGGAATGGGATGGAAGGGAACATCTTCAATTTCTCTTCCTCCAGCCAAACTCAGTGAGAAGCCCTTGAGTTCTCTGAGAGCAGCTGAGTGAAAATGAACTCTGTGTTAATGCATCTGAGATATTTTCTCTTGGGACATGTAGGTGGCACTAACAAGGTAGGGTTTACTTTCTAGCCTTTGTTAACCTGAGG